TCTGGGCAAGAAACCATGTTGGCAGGATGTAAGATTACCTGAGATCTCATCGAAAAGTCACTCAAAAATAATTCTTTCGAATATTTTTCCTGCACTCATAATACTTATGGGGCGGTAATTCTTTATTTCATTTCTAGCCCCGTTTTATGAATAGGAATAATTTTAGAAATTTTCCATTTGTCAGGGTATTTCGAAGTATTTAAAATTAAATTGAATATAATATTAAAAGGTTTCAAAAGATATTCTTTACAACCTTTTAGAATATAGGCGGGAAATCCGTCAGGGCCGATTGCCCTATTTACCTTGATTCTCCCGATAGCCAGGGCCGGCCCTGGCGGCCCTACCATAAGGCGAACAGAGCGAGCGCTCCAGGCGCCAGACCTCGAGAGGCGCCTCCGTCTCGTTCCTTGGTGAAAAAGAGAAAAATATATTTTTGCTCTGAATCCTGTATTCACTTTTCGATCTTTGGCTTGCGAGCAAGTGTGTGGATGCCGTATCCAAGTCAAATTCAAATATGGTTCTGAATGGGGCTGCCATGAATTATTTTTCCCATTGCTTTTTCCAGTTTAAGGGGAATAAGTACGCAGTCGAATATCACGATAAAGTCGGTAAAAGAGGCAGGTGATTTATTGAATTTTACGTCATTTCTTATATTGGTGGATAGAGTATACGATTCACAGTTAAATTAGGGGCGCCAAAGTCGGATCTCGCTCCATCCTGAAAGTAACCACAGGCCGGCACTGCCGATAGCCCTCTCAGTCTCATCAAAAGTGATAGGCTTACTACAGAAATATGACTTGACGCTCGTTATGTTACAATTCATATCGTCGTCATTTATATATACTGATTTAAAAAAATCGGCAAAACCGTCGGAAACACCTTGGGATCCTGAATAGGTTTTCTCATCAAGGACCATTTCCTCCAAGAAATCAGGAGAATCTTTTAGAGTTTTTAGAAAGGACCAGAACGTTTTAGGGTTTGATTTGAAGCTTGCCTCTATATCGCGGAGGTATTTGGAATGAGCAAGTTTAACCTTATATTTGACGACGCTCCTAAGAGTAACATACTTATGTCTCCAATAATGAGATTTGTATTTTTTTGATTTTATGAAGAGCTTATATTTTTGTTTGAGAAGCTTGATAATTTCTTTGCTAAACCATACAGGATATTTTTTATCGACCCGAGTTGCCCTAGGGACGGATTTCTCGAAAATATTATTAAGTAAGGTAAATGCACTAGTAATTGACACAATAAGACTCTCTTATGGAATTTAAATGTATCTTTGGGGACCCAGTAATTGACACCTATTATCCAATTATTGACACCCCAGTTATTGACACATTTTTTTTTTTCTTCTCAGTACATGAGTATATAAAATGAGTAATAATAAGCCACAGCTGCTAGAACTTCATTCATCTGCTCTTTGGAGTAATTTTTTTTGATTTCATATCAGTAATATATGAAATTCCAGTAATTGACATCTTGTGTACCAATAATTGACACCCTGTGTACCAATAATTGACACTCATGTCAATAACTATGGAACCAGTGATTTTTTCAGACTCATATGTTGTCAGATATGTTGTGCTCATAATAAGATGTGATCGTTCTGTCAAATATTGCTGTGTTTGCGTTAAATTTGTTATGAGATCCATTCATTGACACATCAGTCAATAATTGGTACATGGTCATAATCACTTGATCCAGTCTTTGACACCCACGCCAATTTCAGATAATGTGTTTTACTAATAAATACACATTAAAAAACCTTTTAATCATACTTAAACTCGGCCCTCAAACATATGGAATAAATTAAACATAGATACATTTAGCAATAAAAAATAATATTTGATTTGTTTGCCTTAACAAATCTCTTAATTTTTCTCATCCGACAGGTAACCAGCCTTTTCACATTTTTAAATGACTGGGAGATATCATCTGATTTCTTTCATAGCTGGTAGAATGTTGCCAAATACTGTATTAAAGAAGTTTTTTTTATCGAGATGGCTCTGGGACATCGAGTTGGCTTGTTTTGATAACATTTACCTTTACATGTCAATTACTGGAGCACAGTCAATAACTGGTGCATTTACCTTAGTAGGTAAATAAAAAGATTTCAGTGTCAAATTGACGTCGGTAAGGCCCTCCAAGTCATTCCAATCCTACTCACTAAAAAGTCTGTATATTAACAAGAAGTTTGCCTTTTTAACCCGCCATCGCTAGTGTTCCTAGAAAAAATCTAACATTTTTTAAAAATTTGTCATAATTTTTACAATTTTTCATTATTTTTGCCATGTATCCAGGAATGCTTTTATGACTCACCTACTACACACGTGTTATAGTAGACTGGGCGATGTTTCTGTTTTTATGCCAAAACAGCATATTGTTAGTACGAATCAAACACGCGAGCGTGTGAATGTTAGGAACAATCTAACGACGCGAGTGATGGCGTATGTCAAAATTTTGTTAATTTTGATAGATTTTCAATTTGTATCATATGTATTTTGGTGTTTTTATTAAAACAACATTCATATATCTATATATATATAAAAATGAATGCCACTTTTCGTTGTAATTTTATAACTCAAGAACGGGCTCACCTAGCCAAACCAAATGTTTAGGCTTTGTTCGGACTATTTATTAGATGGTTTATGTGAAGTTTGCACAAAATCGGTCGAGCGGTTCTTCATTTATCACATTTTTTGTAATAAATGAATAATTCAATAAATGGAGGATCATTTTGTTATCATTATTATCTATATATATAAAACACAGTTGTGTTGGTTCTAGCACTTATAACTCAAGAACAGCTGGACTGATTTTCATGATTTTTGCTTTATTGGATTTGTATTTGTCCATACTAACATAATAATTCGAAAAAACAAAAAAAAAAAAGACAAAAAACAAAATTACCTATTTTACTTATTTATGAAAAAAAATCACTAAGCCCGCATATGGCGCCATCTCTTATAACCGATACAAAGTTTACAGCCACATTTTCATTGCAAACCATTTTGTATACGGCGCTATCTCTGATACCTAGAACGAAGCTCGCCGATGCGCGGTAATTTCATTGCAGATACAGTAGAACAATGCTACTCAGGAACTGGAGCTATTCCGAACAGAACTATTCCACTATTCCGATCAGATAGAGTGGTGCAGAAAGAGTAGATCAGATAGAATAGTGCGGATAGAGTAGAACAGATGGAGTAGTGCAGTGCAGATAGAGTGAAACAGGGCTGCGCTAGAGATTGTTTTGTTTTCTTTACATTCTTTGAACATTCCTGTGCCTGAGTTTATTTATTTGATGGTACACTTTACAAGAATAATGCCCACAAGCTGCCTAAAAAGGGATGATGTAAAATTTTAATTTTAGGTGACTTCTGATTCAGAGAGTAAACATTATTTTTTTTCAACCAAAGCCAAATTGACCATCGAAAAAAACTGAATTTAATTCAGCTAATAGATACGTTCACACAACATTTAATAGGTATTTAGTAATTCAGAGGCGGTACGAAGTTCGCCGGGTCAGCTAGTAATTATTAAAAATCAATTCAATGGACCTTTCTCATTTTACCTGTGTTGCGCGCGCAGCTTGTGGGTGACAGCTAATAAAATTGTCAATTGAATGAATGCGGGAACGCGGTCTGACCCTGACATTTTTTAAGCTAACCTCAATAATCAATCAATTTTGCTGAAAATTATTACAAAAACTGTTTATTATACAATGGTTCAAATGTGTTGTGTGAGATCTTGTCAGAGTAAGGCGAAAAAGAAGTCAAACCTTTCTTTTCACAAGTTTCCAAGCAATCAAATTTTAAAAAAGCAATGGTTACATGCTTTCAACTTGACTGAAGACGATTTAAGTTGGAACAGAAGTTTGAGGGTTCGTAAAATAACGATTTCTATATCAAATACAATAATAATTGTACAATTAAAGGTTTGTTAGCACTTGCAAATTCGTACTTCTCAAATTTTTCTAAATTTTTCCCCCACATATTTGTCATATTTACATTTAAAAATAAACAAAAACAGAAACATAACCGAAATTGAACAATTTGACATGTGGAACCAATCAAAGTCATTCCACACAGGTATCCCGCGTCATTATATGTATCTCTTTCTTAATTACATGAACTTTAATAAACTATCCTTGTTGTTCATTGCATGAGAAAGGTCCATAACCTCTGAAAAATAATAGTTTTATTGCAAAGAAATGGATGTTAGATTAAATCTAACCCGCTAGCGATGATGTAAAAAAATGAGGCGCCAGTGATGGCGGGTTAAAGTTAAATTTGGTTGTCGAGTTAACTCTACAATATTCAATATCGTTCTTAGTGTTCAGGCACAAACCAAGGCACGGATGGTGTCTTTTATGTGACTTATGTATGTATTTAATAACTACCATACTCTGTCACATTAAGTAAACTTTTACTCCTAATAAAATAAATATTCAATATTATTAAGTAGGTATAATCTCGATATTATTATTATAATTATTTTTGATGTTTTCTCTATTTGACCTGGTCATACTACTGCGGTATACGTACTTGATTGGATTTGATTACTGTCGCAGTTTCTTAGGGCAAGCGAGTTAAAAAAAAATGTACTAACGACTTTCCATACCTACATAACTGAATACCTAGCTCTTGATCTAACTGTTGAGGGCAATCATGATAAACATGGAGGATAAAAAAAAAGAGAAAAGCTCAAAAAATATCAAGCTGTGATGCCGTATTCAAATACAAACTACAACCACCTGAAAAAAATAATGTATTGATTAAAATCGGCCAAGTCCTTTCATGTCCATCAAATTGATGAATTTTCTGTGTAATAATATTTGATAGATTTTCCGACAGGAACATATAATGTAATGTCGTAACTAGTAGTCGCCAGGCAACCAAAGTTGGTCATTATCCCTTTAAATAAAAAATAAAAGAGCTATTCTTCAGTTTTCCACCGCACAGACCCAAGCTAAACGTGACGCTTTTCCCCGAGACCCCCAAGCCAAAAGGGAGAAACGAAACAGCACGATTGAGGTTAGAATTTTTGATTAGGTTTTCCACATGGAAAGCAGCCAAGAATAGTCCTTTAACTACCACTAATAATTAATACACACGGAAACTTCAACCTTGTTTATATTTTGCTTTAAAAGGCAGCTAAACCGGTAAATTGTTTCTCAAACAAGGAAAAGTCAATATCATTCCGTTATAAATGGTTGTGTATGGCATAAATTATATAACGATAATAAAACTTACCCCAAATTGAACACAGAAATCGTCGGTAATTTAAAATGCACCCAATTAAAAAGTAATAAAAAGGAAAGCCGGATAATGGCGATGGCGAATGGCGGCACAACCAAATTTTAATAGATCGCGTTTTGCGTTTTGCTTTGCTAAAAAGATGCTCTAAAATCGTTTCTTCAAATTAAACCACGCATGACGCATGACATGTCATAAACGACCATTCGGCATTCCGGACTCAACGATTTTTGACATCGCTGGCGACATCTATCAAAAGGAAAATAAAGTCGTAACACATTGCCATCTATGTATTCTATTTCCAAACATTTCTCTACGAGAAACTGGATTGAAATGGCATGGCCAATAACCCTTTTCACGTGGCTCCGGTTCAACAAACCGCAACATACCGCTCAAATTCGAGTGGAAGGTATCCATCACGTCACTATCCTTGCGTTCGGTATTTTGCTCAAAGTGTAGAGCGAGCTGAGCGGAGCCGTAATCACGTGACCAGCGAGCGAACGGAGCAGTTGAAAGCTGTATAAAAGTACCGGAAATTTTAATAAACGAACGCGAATGAGGTTGCACCGAGTACACTTTTTAAATAAACGAACGGTAAAGTCAAGCTCGGAGAACTCAGACCAAAATAACGAACGCACGGTTTGTAACCGGGTTAGAAAACGGTATGTCATTTCTCTAACCGTTTTGTAACCCGGTTAGTTAAACCGGACCGGAGCCACGTGAAAAGAGCTAATGGGTATGGCTATGACGGCATATTCAAAATACAGTGCCTCTATACAAGACAGTGGCGACAATAGAGGGACTCATTTTTGAATTGACTGCAGAATATCCGCTATGTTTTGTCGAAAGTTATTTGTGTTTACCGTTGGATTCTATGGAGATTTATGCAATTTTGTGTTAATATATTTTTATTTTTGTTATTTGTGCCTGTTATGACAATTTTGTGAGAAAAAATTAGAACAGAAAGAAAAGAAAGAACAAATACGTTATTGAAAGAGTTCAACAAAACATGGCGGGTGGGCGGAGCTTAGGCGCTAAAGTTATTTGTGTAAAACCAAGAATCGTAAACTCTACAGGATTGCTCAATCGGCTAAATTTGTTCACAATTGCTGTGACGTCACGCGCATGCCGGATTTTCAAGATGGCCGCTGATACGAATGATGTTTAGTTTGTGCTGACAACTATTTTATCGTAAATTCGGATTTATCTAGTGTTATAAGTGTAAATTTAAAGTTTCATTTAATGTGTGTAAGCATAAAAGACTCGTGGCTGAAAATACTCGCGAAAACCCCAAGCATTTTCTGGTTTTATAATACTGGATTTGTTGTATCAGGACATCGCTCTTTTATTTGTGTGTATTGCTAGTTAGTATTTCCTAGTCAAGCATTTGTTTTGCTTTTTTTTTATAAATCAAATATCTACTTAGTTGTAAGTTTCCTTTGCATGTAATTACTAATAAAAATTAGGGTTTGTGAAGAGTGAATAAATAAATATGTAAATAAATTCCTTTACTGGCGCGTTTACTGAAAACGCATGGAAAATATGGGAAACTTGCAATGTTTTTCTGGAATATGATTATGAGAATCTAAATTAGGTATCACTATTTGGCTTTGTGAAATAAGCTCACTTTGAATGTCCATATTAAATCGTTCTAGTACCTATTAAATTAATGAATAATAATTGAGAAGTACCTAGGTATAGGGTCAGTAAAAAATAAAGCACACTATTGCTACAGTGACTTTATTACTACAGTGGCGACAATTGCTGTCTTATTTTTGATTGGTTCTAAAATCCCATATATTTATATTGAAAACGCCGCCATCTTGTTCCCAACCTCTTGTTACTTTTAAATATGAATATATGGGATTTAGGTGAACATCCATCATAAATCATGGAAAACAACGTATTTGATGGACCTAATCATGGTCATCAAATACGTCGATTTCAATTTTTTATGATAGATGTCCATTTAAATCCTATATATTAATATTTAAAAGTAACAAGAGGTTGGGAACAAGATGGCGGCGGGATCTCTATTGTCGCCACTGTATGTAAAGGTTTATTTAGCCACTGTAACTATTGCAACCCCGTTTCGCTTATATTTTGATATTGAAATGCAAAAATTAAACCGGCTCGGCACCCCACATTTGGTTTTCTACTGTTTCTCAACTGTAGTCAATTGTGCCCGTTTTGTGCTCAATTGTGCCAGTATTTATGCGAATTGTGCTCATTTTCATACACAAAAAAAACATTGAAACGAATCCGGGGGCCAGCTTGACTGCAGCCCTTCGTTTTTTTGACTTTTTGGCAATATGTTTGGCTAATTGATAAACAAAAGCAAACAAACTCGTCTTTCTAATTAGCAATTAGCCAACCACTCAAGCCTCAAGGACACAAGCTTTTGAAGTCTGCTAATTTTAAAATCAATAAATTAATTACAAAATACAGTTTTCAAAGGAAATAACCTCAAAATAACAATTTTTCACGTTTGAAAATGCAAGGATAGTGCACTGTCATAAAAAACAAACCGATCAAGAACTACGTGGCGTCATTCGAATACCGCCATCTTCGATGTTTTTATGAACGTTTGTCTTATGGGATTGAGCAATCCTGTAGAGTTTACGATTCTTGGTGTAAAACCATTGGCAGTGAATAGAGGTCCGAAAATTCGGATCTCTAGTGTTCCGATAATTCTCGGATTTTCAATTTGTATATTAGGGGTCCGAAAATGCGGATCTTCAGTGGTATTATTGAAGATCCGAAAATAGATGTTTAGGTATTTCTAATTCTGTCATAATTGAGGAATATTATACTATTTCAATAAAATTGATAAAATGCTTGTATTTATTTTTAAGGATTTATACTAGAAAAAATGGATCCTCTAATCCTTTTTATGTAGAATAACTAATCAAGTTTAGGGGAGACTGTTGTATACTGGGACAATATTTTTCTAATTGAAATAAAAAATTTGTTGAATAATTTTTAACTATTGTGAATATTCTAATATATTTAAAAGTAGTTTGTTTATTAACAATTATAAAAATTTCTATAACTTTTACACTTTAACATAGAAAAAATTGAATGTCCCACTATACACCACTTTCCCACTATGCAACCACCCCATGTTGCATACTGGGAACGATGCATGTGTATAGTGGGACAATGTTTTTTGATCCCAAATAAGTAAATATAAAAAGAAAATTCGGTCGCTTATTCACAAAATTATAGAACTTCAACATAAATTAGGTAGGTAGCCAAACTTATTTCGAATTCGAAAAAGTTTGAACCATTCTTCTATACGGCGATTTCATTTTCCGTCCATGTTTTTGGATTTATTTTAATTTGCGAAGGCAAATCTATAAGCCAACATTCTAGTTTTTCTGCTAGTTAAACCGTAGCACCTTTGAGAAGAAGTAACTGGATATTTGCTAAGCATTGGCTTTTCATCGTCACTGAAAATCTGCTTGACACCCAATGACACCATGTTGCCTTTGAAATTTAATTCCTGCGTGTTTGCTTCATTTATTTTGTGCTTCTTTCTATGCAAGGCTGATTTGCTAACTCCAAATTGAACTACAGCAGTCCTAATATTGGTTTCATTTTTAAGAACAGCATCTACCGCCGAGTCCCTCCCCAGCATTCTCAAGGTGAATTTTTCGACTCTCAAAAAACGATTTCTTGTTTTTCCGGCTCCTATTTTTATCAATTTCTGGAAGAAAGGAGGTATTGAAACTAGGTAAAATACAAAAGTGTTCCATTATAGAGCATATAAAATGTTTGTCCCAATATGGAACCCGAAAATTCTGTCCCAGTATACACTGTCCCACAATACAACCTTATACGTTTTTTGAAATTTTCTGAATTTGAGAAAATATAAACAAATACTAGCAAAAAATAACCTTAATTCACCTTCAAGACACCTTCTGGCATAATTATCCTCAAATTCAGGACAAACTATTGGATATTACTGGCATAAACTTTGTCCAACACGTGGTCGTAAAAAAAAACTTTGTCACTTTAATGCTTACACTAACGAAAATCCCGCCATATTTAAGACTCTAACGGCCAATGCCAAGGTTATATCTAATGCTCATATATAAAGCAGTTGACACAATTTTTTTCGGAATTTTAAGCGATACCGGTGGCGGACAATTTGAATTGTCCCACTAAGGAACCTGTCCCACTATACAACAGTTTCCCTACTCGAAAATATTTGGTGGGTGCAATCATAGGCGTATCCAGGATTTTGGTTTGGAGGGGGCTCTGTTAACAAAAAGTGTTGACCAAAAAAAAAGGTTGTGCACAATAGTCCATTTTAACGTGCCTCTCATTGGCTAATGCCGATATTCATGCGATAGAAATGCCGAAATATTTTAGGATCATTTTACTAGTTAGCAAGAGACAAGAAGTTCACCGATTATACCTATTCTTTCTTTTTTCATAAAGTAGTAAGGGATGAAAAAGGTCATACGTGTGGCTAGTTTTATGTCAGCCATGTTTTGGCATGGTTTACTAATGACTCTAATGAGAAATTTGGCATCCTCGCATGTTTGGGAAAGTGGACGCTCCTTTCCTATCCCGCGTTTTCGCAGCAGTTTAAAAATTCGATTTTCAAATCATTTTCAAAAATACCTAGGCGTTTTCGTTTTTTCTTTTGAAAAAAGTATACAGATGTTATCAGAATGCAGAATGACTAACAGATTAATTTAAAAATGTGAAAGTTGCCTATTTTTGTCAGGAATTCACCTGTAACATAGGGTAGAGTGGGGCAGGTTCGGACGGATTTTGTTAAGGTGCATGATACCGAATTTTTATTTCAGCTAATCTAATGTTCTAAAAACGCAAATATATTGCATCAGATGTTTTTAAACCAATACCATAGCAATTTCCGAAAAAACTTGCACCGTTTTTCGTGAAAATTGAAATAAAAAAAAGTTTCCATTTGTCCGAAGGTGCCCCACGGTGAGGCAGTTGTGGACACGCATGGGGTAACTCCGGACATATACTTTATAAACAGTTTATTTTTTGACAGGAATATTTTAAATAGTTTAGCATCAATCTAAACATCAAAACTTATAGTTTAAAGGAACTCCAAACATATATACAAACCTATGAACTTTGGCACTAGCCTACAAAAATAAAGA